AATGCAAAACAAATATTTGTTTTTCTAGTACCCTGAACCTATTTTTCAAATGCAAGCCTAAAATTAAACAGCTGTAAATCCAACGGTCAAAATAATTTTGATGCCACCATTTATCAGAATGGCTGACCACATAATATTGAAAGATGCCACTCAGGAGGATTGAGCCCAGTATCACAATTTGATATGATATCTGCACTGTTGGGTATAGGAAAACCTCAATGGAACCAGGGTTGACAGGAAGTGGGATTTACTGAATTCTGAGGAAAAAAAAAACGTTCATCCATCCATCCAGGCCAGCTTTCAAAGTTTTTCCTGACGAACTTTACAGTTTTAGTTAAAGGTACAATAGTTTGTAACTTTTATTTGTTAAAAATGAACTACATTTAAATAATAAGTCAATACAACATCAATCCTTATCCCACAATGTGTTTTTGTATAACCCTGATTCATATAGTAAGCCTATTAAATGTGTTTATATTTTAGACCTGTCGGTATGGAGTTTGTGGGAAATTGCGTATGTGTCACTTGCTCGTGTGAGTCTCGTCATATCATAAGAGAAAAGAACTTCATTTAAATGTAAAATTGCAATTCTGCATTCATTTTGTTTTGCCACCTTAATTCAAATACAGGAACGGAATTGAAAATGAAAAGGCATTTTCAATGCTCAACTCAAAGCTTAGTAAAGTTACAGCTTCTGAAGCACCTTATTTAACTCTTTCCATGCCACTGAAGAGATTTTCCGTTATTTATGACAAGGCTTCCGAGCCATTGATGCGTTTTTTGGCAATTCATGTTTTTACATGGGGTGCGCTGTTGGATCTGATGGAAGATATGAAAAAAAACAAAAGGAGCAGATAGAAGTTGCTTATAAGCTAACGTGATCATTCAGCAGCATCTCAAAACTGCCTAATGTTACAGAGAAAAATTGAACCCACAAAGAAGTATAGACTTTGAGACTTTGTGGGTGTGTCCATCTATGTTTTGATCATCATTCCGGATCCGATCCGGATAAAGCTTTTTGCTTGAAATGTTGTTTATTTTTTATTCTTTATTTTTTTTTTTTAAATGAAACTTGCCCAGATTCAAGTGTTCATACAAAAGAATGAATGAAGCTAGAATAAAATGAAAGTTTTGTGAGTGATCAAAAATCACTGGCTGGCAACTTTTTTAGTAAACACTGGCAGGGAAGGAGTTAAAAATGAGCTTACTGTACTATTAGTCAAACAACCATTTCCATTTCATGCAACATCCCTGCATAAGCAGTACCCAGCTCTTTGTCATTTCATTTTAAAAGAAATCTTCTAAGAATCTCAATTGGTGCACATCCAAATTAGCATGATTAGATTAGATCTGGCACCCAACACATGCCTTGCAAAGTATCTGCAATTAAAGGTGAGGAGAGCAGGTTGTCAAGCATGACTCACTAACTAGAGTGGTTATGGTCTCTGACAACCTGAGCGCAGACTGTGAGCTCAAGAGAGCCCCATTTGGCTTTTGGCATCTTCCCTTGTATCGCCGTCATCCAAACATGGCCTCTCTTGTCAAAATATTCTGCTCTAGTTTATGTATGAGCAACAGTGCGGCAAAAAAAGGAGCCCGGCAAACTGTGCCCGTGTGCAAAGATGATATGAGACAGGCACATTACTGCCTGTAAAATGCATCTTTGTTCTATAAGTATTTATATAGTTTATGCATTGATTCATGCTGTGGACCCGTGGACTGTGTCCTCCGAAAGCACACCGTGTCCTCTAGACTCCAGAGGGACTGGCCGAAACTTGAGGAGGAAACGCTATGCTGAAAGTGGACTGCAAGATTAAATGACTTTAGGCATTGGTTCACTGGGGGTCTCCTGATGGATGAAACTAATATTGACATAAACACCTGAGGGATGTGGTCACAGGGGTTGATTACTGTAGGATCAATCTGCGACTGTCAGAGATGGATTCCAAGCTCTGCAAATGTCCCAGATGCTAAGATGTCATAGAGCAATGGCATGTTCCTGGTACCGTGATATCAATACACACACCAACACACAAAAAGGGAGTAAATATCCATGGCTGTGTGGTTAAAGAGAGATATTTGATGTACATCATGATCCATAAAAGACGAGAGAGCCAAAACGTATCAGCTCACCTGCCAAGACTTAGTAAATTTAGCAGACTTGGTAAAATTTCAGCACAATGCTTTTGTATTGACATACTTGGTAACACTTTTCAATAAAGTCTCATTTGTAAAGATTGGTTAATGCATTAATTAAAGTCGCCATGGAATCAAAAATGAAGCAGTGTGTATTATAAAGAGAAGCTGATCACTGCAGAGCAAGTGAGTAGAGCTCAGTGTTGCCAGATTGGAAATGTCCAAGAATCGTACCGGAAGCGAAACAATTTTCGTATTTGGAAGAAAATCACCATACACGAGTCAAACGAAGACAGTTATTTAGATTCTAGACCAAGAGCTTTTTGACATGACCTGCATTTTACTTTATTGCTAAACTATTGACTTCAGCTTGGAAACAACTGACCTAAACTTACCTAAACCTGTGTTTGTGAGAGAGAGTCATTCTCCACAATGATTGGCCGAGAAGACGTAACGTGAGATGACATGCGTAACACCACATTCACATTCTCCTCACAATCATGATTGTAGACATAGGATCCACAGCTAGATCAATGAGTATACAAGGCCGATTACAACGACCATCATTTGAAGCGTCACAAAATACTCAAATTATCGTACAAAAAATGTGTATAGATTTTTTTCATTATGGATTATACATACAGAGATCAACATTATCCTACAAATACGATAATTATTGTACGCCTGGCAACACTGGTGGAGCTTGACGGCTCATCCTCGCTAGATAAAATGGGTGGAGCTAGATGGTCCAACCACACCCTAACTCCACCCACTCCTAAGCATAACTCCACCCACAGAAGTCTCGGACATCATGCCCACGGACCGTTGGCTGAACATCACACAAAATGGAGAAAAAAAACCACAAGAAGTTTCCAAGATGTCATCTGATTGGTTAAATTCTAGGATTTCCCGAAGGCGTCTGTTGCGTTCTTAAACTGTGTGTCTGGAAATAAAGCCATCATGACAACTTCTTTTCTCAGAATTGTGAGATATAAACTCGTCGTAAAGTCCAATTCTGAGGGGGGGAAAATGATTTTACTCGCAATTGCGAGTTTATATAGCACAATCCTGAGAAAAAAGTAAGAATTGCGAAATGTAAACTCACAAGTATGAGAAAACAAGTCAGAATTGTGAGATAAAAAGTTGCAATTAGCTGTGGCAGAAACAAGCTTCCAAACTTTGCTGCGAAATAACTAAGAGTATGATAATTTCCTTTTCCCTGAGGTCATGCTTCCCAGCCTTATTAGACACAAAGGAGATCAATATTCTTCTGCCATGTGTGCTTTTATGCTTTGTAAAGTATCCTACTAAACAAATGATGCTTTTAATGTGTCTAATGCAGTGCTACTAAAATCCTTAAAGAGAAATAAGACAACCCAATTGCTCTTTGAAGACGGCATTACGGCACAATCTATATATGCACTTAAGAAAACGGGATGAAAGGAGATGGTGGCAAGAAGATCACACACATGACCAAATTCCAAATTAACAATTACTTAGACCCAAAGAACACGACTAAGATTCAAGGAGGAAATGACAATACCGAGATGGATGAATGGATCAGCTAGGAAGGAGAAAAGGTCAAGTTATCAATCAGAGTAATGGGGTGGATGCGATTATTTATGATCGTCCTGATTATGTGTTCTGGTACGCTTGCAGATTCACATCATGGATCTATTACCACAGAATACAAATTGTACATGAGCAAATAAAACCAGCTACCGTTGAATTTCGACCTAAATGTCAACAAGAAACTAGATCTGATCCATATCCAGATACTCCAAGTGCACTTTGGTGCTTTAAAGCTCAATGAGATATTAAGGTTGTCTATGATGATGAAGAAGAAAATATCATTAAATAGTCTAGCTTTAAAACATGTGCCATGCAGTTAGAAATATAATCGTTCAACTCATATTCATTTTAAGCATTTTTTAATTCATTTTATACCCTTTTCAAGATAAACTCAAACTCTAAAATGGCCAACAAGAAACAACATATTTCTATAACGTTAATCATTATGATCTTATTTAGCTATTTTTTGAACTACAAACCTTAATTTCATAGCATTTTCTTTGAGTTTTACCATTTGAAAACTTGACCTTACCATTTCCTGTTTATGTTTTTCTTGTCACATGACAATAAAATGGCTTTCTTCATGTTACTTATACTACTTTTATACAAAACTGATTCAATATTTATTGTCCTAAATAAATATAATAATACAGAAATAACAACACAGGGTGAGCCATCCTACTCAAGGGTGATCTTTTTGAGAATTTCAGCCTTTTGATGAGACTTTTCTTTTCTTCATTGTACCACCCACTTCTGACTTCATGCCCCACAAAAACATAAAAATATCTTTTAATTCAGAAATTGAAAACGTGTTCATTGTAGGTGTATCCATTGTCTGCATGAAGTGCATTGTTAATGTTTTATAGTGTGCAGAAGTAATAGATCAGTACAAAAAAAATAATAATGAATGTGTCATCATTAACCCACCCATGTCGCCTACAACAATATTGTAACCTATACTTTTCACCAAAACCATGAAAACACATTAGGTAATGCATACAGATGAATTAGAATTAGAAATAAACACAATAAGCGTTGCTAAAAGTGTTAAGACATTCCCATTTCAATTGTTTTGAAGTATAAACAATGCAATACCTTATATATGGATGTACAGGCTACTTATACAGTATATGTAAGATGAAAAGCAAATTTAAATTGGGCTACGTCAAGTGCACATTGAAAGAACTTGTTGATGGAATGCAGTTTATTTCGGGTGTAAATAAAGAATACAAACGGTGTTATTGCTCGCAGGTGGTTGTAGTGAAATGAGCGAATTGTTCACTCGTACTCACCCAGTCCGGGCACAAATGTGTTGAGAAACAAGCAGATGACAGCTACTGGGAAAGGCATATATGGGATGGCAGCGCGTAAAGCTCCTTTCTTCTCCCTGACTTGAACAACAACTCCGCTGGTAGAAGAAGAAACTCCTTTTTCGTTCATTTCTGTGTCTTTCTGGGCCATTTCCCAATTTTTAAAATGAATTACAAACCTTGAAATCCTTGTTTTGGTGGGTGCTGGACACTAACAGGCAGCTCCAGCGCGAGCGTAAGCTTGTTGAAGTGAGTGCGCGCAGTGAACGGTAGGCGTCACACTTACTACTGTGTCAGTGAGCCATAGTAGATGAGAAGGTCGTTACACAATAGATTTAAAGTCACAGTGGCGACTTTTTAGGGCACTAAACGAACGAAAAAAAAAAAAAAAAAAAAACAGAGCCTCAGCCCTGAAGTCCTTATCTGTGAGACTTTCGTTCATCTTTGAGAGCTTTATTTTCTCTCCAGCCTATGCTTCTACCAACTTTTTGAAGCATCAAAGACTTTGATGCTTCAAAAAGTTCATAAAGAGATCATAAACCTAATCCATATGTATCGAACGGTTTAGTTAAATATTTTCTGAATGTTTTAATGTTTTAAGTCGAGATCACTGAGAACGCAAAGAGCTCAAAGGCGGCAAATAGACAATCTGAAACTTTATCTGTTGCTGGTGTTACTGTGCAAAAACAAAAAAAGGATAATAAAATTAGATAATATATTTCAAAAATAGATTTTTGTGCATTTAATTGTATTTTCACTTTCCGAATTGTTCAACCTCTGGGAAAATCCACCTGTATATATTTATAGAGGATACTGAAAGTGAGCTATGGCCTGACAATGTTCGGAAATATCAAAGTGTTGCAACTTGACTGAAAAGGCCATCCAAAGCCAGAGCCGTCACAGTGAACCAAGCTCCAAATCAAAACCATCTGGGCCTGTTGTGTCAACAGCTGTTGGTCTGACACACACTTAGAACCCTTGCCTGCACACACTTGATGTTTTAGGCTTGAAAAAGGGTATTTTGATTCATTTAAATATAATTTCATGCAGTATTCATATGGGTACCATTTCAGAACAGCTCTCCCTCAGACATTGATGATTCTATGAAGAACCTTTAACATTCATGGAACTTTAATTCCATTCTACAAAAGGTGCTTTATAGTGGGAAAAGTGTACTTTAGTTTATTCAAATACAATAAGGGGGAAATGGGTTATTTTAGGAACTACTGAAAGGTTGTTTGGCTCTTCTATGACATCACAGCAAAAATCCAAACCTTTGGAACCTTTCATTCTAACTAAGAGTGTATTACATCATCATTCTCTAGATTCCATCACCAACTCCATCACAGCATTTGTCCTTATTTTTCCCCTGAAGGAAGATATTTAAAATAATTTTTTCAGGGTGGTCATGACAACCCAACCGCTGAAACATAAAGAGGTCTGAGGGTTGTTAGGTGCATGAGCTAATGTATAGTCTGCACTGTGGATATTTGTTCCTGCTTTATTTCTTACCCCTGGGATAAAGAAAAAACAGCCAAATGACAACAGCCAATCGATTTCAGTCTAGGCTGTTTTAACATGTTTGTGTTATGATATCGTGTCAGACGTTGAAGGCTAAAGCAATTCCACTAGTGAAATCTAGATCCATTTTTTAAGCTTAAACAGGAACTAGTCGTTGGACATTTCACTATAAATATTCATAAGGGTGACCCCCTTCCCCCCTCCCCCATCCCAAAGTCAGTCATTTTACTGTCAGGTCACCTAGCAACAGGGTATTCTCAGGGCGAATGGGGTTAATATGAAATCTTTCTTTTATGACGTCAGCTGTAAAACTGTAACATGAAATGGTAAAAAGTCATTCATGTTTGTTGAAGTGCATTTTGTATTCTACATGGTTTTAGAAACCAGGCCACCAAAGGGAAAAAATGCACTGTAATAAAGGGACATGTTATTTTCCATCTGGATGGACAGGGGTGCCTGTGGGCTAAATATTAATGATTACTTCATATCTAATTTTTAATATTTCTCTGGCGCTTCTGGGAAAATGGAAGGGGGAGTGGAGATGCATGTACAAAATATATTGGAGTTATGGCTTTTGTCCACCAAGGAACAAACTGTTTATGTATTTAGAGTATGATAGTCTGTCATTTGGTAAAAATGTCTATTTCCTAATTCCCTTCATGCTTGTTTTTCATTTTCCCCCCCTGAATTATGAGATATCCTGGATGAAGTATAAGATGGAAAATTAATCCAGGAATTTATTTAGTGGCATTTTGGCTGTCAAGTCTGAATACAACACATTTTGTCAAGTCTGAATACAACACATTTCAAATCCAGACACATACTTGTGACCACCTGTCTGGACTCATGTCTTATCTGCTCCATCAAAGCGAGCTCTGCTCGACTCAGCTCTTGGCTACTGATTGTTTTGGAATGAAATATTCAATTTGCAGCTCTGTGACAGACAAACAAAAACGCACAAGTCTCCTTTCAGTTGCTCTGAGAAAGAAATATTGACGCTTAGGCCAAAATTGCATTAATCAACTGCTAAAGCAACCTCAACATCTAATCTAATCTAATCTAATCTAATTAGTGCTCTCAAAATTAGCACGTTTTTTTCCACTGTAAAAAAATTACAGTAAAATTTACAGTAACTTTCTTGCAACAATTTAAATTTCCAGTATTTTATACTGTGAAATCAAAAACAATTAAATACTGTGATTTTAATTGTATTTACAGTAACTTACTGGCCAATCGTTGCCAGTAAGTTAGTGTGAATTTCTTTTACAGTCAGGGTACTGTATACATTTACAGTATTTTGTGTACTCACTGTAAAATAAAAAACAATTAAACACTGTTTTTAGTTGTATTAAAATGTTTCATGCAATTAACGCAGCATCTGTTTTTTTCTATCATCCTTTGGCTATAGTTAAATTATATGATCACATTTTTATTAATGTAAATGCTTTTAAACCATTTAAGCTCGATAACACAGAACCGGTCAGAATCGAGTTCTCTTTCACGCTTGAACAAACAATAACACAATTGGCAAAATGCCAGTTTTGCCGAGGATTCTCATAAGAGCAGTCCTAAATTCCTGATTTTGAATTGACAGGCTGTCAAAAGAGAATGTTTTTGTTTCCAGATGGTGCAGTTACAGCTTCTAACAGCAGGGGCAAACAGAATCATGCTAACCCATCGAACCCTTGTATGAAATATGAAGTTCAAGCTGGCTTGACGAAAACCAAAAAAAAAGAGCAGAAATCAAATATAACAAAGAAAAATCACAGAAGAAATTAAAAGAGACAAACTAAGAGTGTTATGAGAGAACAAGCTAGAATTAAGAGAAAACAAAGGCAAAAACACCACGTAAAATGTTTAATTGTTCAAATTAAATGAACAATTATTCTACTCCATGTGGCTATATAGAGAGTGAAGAATACAATACAATCTGATTGAATAGAAGTCAAGTATAAGAGAAAAAAATCTAACTATTTCTTGAGTGTGCTTGAAGAAAAGATGAAATAAAAGGGGAGGGTTAACATGTCAGACACCCACAGTTTCACACAGTTGTAACAATCAACCTTACAAATGTTGCTGACAGCCTCAGTGTGCTCCTGAATTAGCTATCATTAGTGAATCAAAAGACCCGTTTAGTGGAGTATATTTGCTTTGTTTGATGCACAGTGCTGGATATAGTTTGTAGCTTTTATTAAATGATACAAATACATAGAATATGTCACATTGAGATGGTCTGCAAAGGCTAAAAATCTGTTCTCGAAAAAGAAAAAAAGAGCAGAATGATATATATGCAATGTATATGCAAGACAAACCGTGAAAGGAACTAGAACAGTTTCATCTTTTCAGACACGTTATTATAAACTAACCAACCTGAATTAGACATGCACTATGTTGTCCTCTTCATTTGTGTATTATACATATATTTATTTATTTTAATAACATGTTCTTCCCTATACTCATCCTGTTTGTATTTTTTTTAAACTAGTGGCATTGTACAGTATATGGTGTATTTTAAATCATGCTGCACTGTACACTGTGTGCACAAAAAAAACTTCATTCATTCATAATCTTCAGTTTATTTTTTTATGAAGCATTATTTTGCTTCATTTCAATTAGGATCAAGAGACATCCAGTCTTGCATTGTGTGTTCAACAGAGCGATGAAGGGAAGGATGTATTTGGTTTGATATCAAATATCAACAGTGTTTCTCAGAAATCTCTTACTGCAGCGTTTCAATCCTTATTTGCAATACCTCAGTGTCCCACTAGAGGGCGCAGAAGTAAGCAGACCTAAGGAACAGAGAAAAGAAAGCCCATTGATAGTGTATAATAAAGATATGGATGTATTTTTGTATTCAATATGGAAGCCCTTGTTCTCTAAGTTTTCACATTTTTCTTTATACTTTTCAAATGTCACAAATGTCAAAGCTGTTATTACTCTTTGAGGTGCACTACAGCGGATTCGTCTGCTCTCTCTAGTGTCGTTCTTCCTCTTGTGCCAACTGACTCTGATTCCATTCTTTAGGAAGGAAAGAGAGATGTCATTTTAAACACAATCAATAGGGTTTGGATAATTTTGAAGTGCCCATGCAGCCAACATTTTCAACTAAAAGGATTTTGGCTTGAATATGCTGTCAATACGGCATGAGCCTATTTACTGAATCGACTGAAAACATGCAAGGTACTAATAGTTTATAAGAGACATTAACATGGAGTTTGGTTCATTTATTTAGGTTTTTACTTACTCAGTATTTGACTCTATGAGGTGGACTAGAGTTGTTTCCTCTGGTCGCTGGAGTGGTGCAGTTTCTGATGTCCTGATTGTTTTCCTTTCAAAATAGGAAAAAGATGTCCTTTCTACAATACCTGCTAAGACTTTAGGTAATTTCAAAGGCTTTCTTTCAATATTTGCAAATAACAGTGTTTTATATGATCACAAATTCTGCTCAGTCAGTATTTTTTTACTTTATTTATTTATTTTTGTTTTTGTTTTAATTGTATGAAAATAATTAAAAGCATTTTATAAAAAGCAATTTACTTTGCTATGCTGTCCACTTTAGAACTGGTGACTGCCATCTCAGGTCTGGCCCATATTATAATTGGGGGAAACGATTTTGTAATTTTCTGAACCCATTCCGTTGCCGGGTCAGCACAGATCTTCCTTTGTTTTTTTGTGATGAAACTGAATTTTTAAAGAGAAATTTAAAGAGATTTTTAAAGTTCACAATTTCACATAAATGATTCACAATTGCGATTCATTTTAATGAGGAAATTCTGAAAGTTACTTACATGATACCACTCATGGGACACTCAGGAGCTGTGATATGATAACTCTCAATATCCTTTACAGGGATTCTTACTTTGGAAAAAGAAAAGCAGCACTCAGAAGATCTGAAGACTGCTGAAATTATATACCGTAAATAAAAAATACAATGTAATTAACATTGTGTTCAAACGTACAATATAAAACATATTAATGAGATACATTTAATCATCAAGAAAATGTCATATATATATATATATATATATATATTAAATTGTTAGCAGTTGATTATCTAGACATTCCCAAAGAAAAATAAAGAAATAAAGAAAAAGATGCATATTCACTGCGTGCAAGTGGGCAGAAAGTGAAGAGCACAAGATAGATGAAGTTACAGCATGGCCTCATGTTCAGGTCTTTGGTCAGTCGATGGTCAGACTTTGATGTGCAGCTGCTGTGTCAGTGACTGATCATCTTGTGTATGATCACCTCACTATACAAACGTGTCTAGAATAAGTGACAAGCACAGAGAAAAACAACTATGTGGTCTGCAGAGGACTTCCGGTTGTAGCACTTCTCAATGCTATGAATGTTCAATGTCTTTAAATTTATAATAAGTTCCCACTCCTTGTAAGTTTTGTATTTTGAATAGAACCACATTTTTCTTATTTAAGTTTAAAAGAATTGGGTTAAATGAGTGCTAGATGCCATATTTTGTTAAAGTAGGTTTATATTTAGAGTAGAGTAAACTAAAAAATACTGTCAAATAGGGGAACTTTATAAAATTGACTACTTGATCGGCAAATAATAAAAAAAAAAAATCCTTATTGTCTAAGAAACATTTTCACTACACTCCTCACAATCCAAACAACTAGAATGTGCCAACAAAGAAACATAAAGCATTAAAAGCCCATACTGTAATAACACTACCTGTACAAGGTAACATTTGCTCTGATAAATATAATGGATCAAATTCAAGGGAAATTATTCTCATCAGGTTAAAAATTTGCTCTGGTGAATTACTACTATTTGTTTTGCTCAATATGATTTGAAAATATAGAGACAGTCAGTGAACAGAGAGCAAAGAGATGAAGATGCAGTAAAGTCACATGTTCAAGTCTGTGGTCTTGCAATGTGTCGTCAGTGGGCCTGTTTTTCTATATTACACAAGCCATCGGGGTTGGAGAAACCATAATGTGAAATATAAATACTTTCTATTTTGTACATGTCCCCTTATATTAACGTCTTATATATGTTGAAAACCAAAAATGGAACTGCATTTATTTGAAATATAAATCTTTTGTAATATTATAAATGTCTTTTATTACATTTTAATTTAATGAATATATTAATATATTTTTATTAATTAAATTTGTTCTTTCTGAATGTATTTTAAAAAAAAAAGTACATACCACAAACTTCTGAATGGTATAGTTTATCACTGTTTCCACGAAAATAAAACGCAGTAAAAACTGAATTCAATATTGATAATAAGAAGAAAATGTTCTTTCTGATGGATCATGTGATACTGTAGAGTAATGAAACTTGAGCTTACCTATTACAGGAATAAATTAAAATATAGGCTATTAGAGCACAATATAATAATGTTTTTTTTATTGTTTTTATCACCAAATAAATTCAGCTTGGTAAAAAAAATAAGAGACTTCTTTAAAAACATCGTTCTTATTTTTTTCCCAAACTTTTGTAGTGTAGAGCGATGTGCTTCATAAGAACTGTGACAGAGTGGCGGCCTCTAGTGGTCAGAAGGAGCGAACGGCCGACAGGCCTTGTGTACAGGCTCCAAATCAAGAAGAGAAAGAGAGAGAGGACAACTGAATGAGCATCATAACATACTGAGGAGAGAAGACTGGACTGTCCGATGGAAAAGAAGTGAACATTCAACTATAATAATAAAAATTATAATAATGCATCAGTACCAAACAAGAACAGCAAAATGATTTAGTTCATTAGACATTGCACATTCCAAAAATGACAGTTTATATATGATATAACAATTACAGTATTGAGAATGAATGAAAGTAAGGACAGATAAATATAGTTCATGTTTGGGCAACACTGTCAAAGCCTGTATATAAGATGGGAAAAATTCAAACAGCCACAGTTTCACACAGTGGTAACAGCCAACCACACCAATGGCAACAGACTCGCTCGCTCGTGAAATGATGATCAGTGGATCAAAAGAGTCAAAGAGAAACTAGCTTTCAATGGGAACGTATGTTTGATTAGTCCACTTTTCTTGCTTTGTGTTATTTAGTTTACATGAAGTAGCTAACTATCCATATCACACACACTCTCTCACACACACATGCATGTCCACACGCAACACACACGTGTGTATTTGTGTCTATAATTTAAATACCTGTATTATTATATAATATTAATTGAAATTACTCTTCATTGCTATGTTTCCACAAAATATAGGTTTTAGGTTAACAAAAAATGTGCAGTAAGTCAGAATTAATAACAACAACAACAACAACAACTATTATTGCATGGTGTCCAATGTAGTGGACAGGTGGATTTTTTTTTAGTAAACTACAATACATGTGAATAAATTTGCTTACGTTCTTTTATGTTTAAAGGTAATGGAACAATTCAAATGAGTTAAAAGAGAATATTACAATGTTATTCAATAACTAATTCGGACATTTCCATAACAAAGAGAAGAACATTAATATTAAGGTCTGTATCAAATAATTTTAGGACCCTTGGCAAGATTTGCCTGCATGCAAAAGACAATGTAATTATAGGGTAACATGATTTTGTCAAGTTCTAACAGTAGGATAATTCTTTACAACAGTAGTTCAATCCAAGGTAAAGGAAACTAAACCACATCTCACAGATCGTCAAAAATAATATATATATTTTTGTTAATATATATTATAAATAATATATACAGTTTTAAAAGATAATTTAAGTATTGTAATATAGAGTGGTACAATAAACTTATTTGCTATATATAGCCTATATATATAGATATTAACTGATTCAGGTAACAAAACGTGTCTCATTTAAATAACACAAAAATATTCATAATGCATCTTTACCTTTTTTATGTATTAATCTCTTCTAAATAGTTATTTCTTGGAATAAAATTAGTTAAGTGAATAAGCATTATATCAATTTTTTTGCTCTATTTGTCAATATTATTAAATCCAATCATTTTTAAGGATTAGATCAAGTGCAGTTTAACATATTTTAAAGTACAGTAAATATTACAAAACAGACTATTACACATTATGAATACTATCAATATTAACATTGCTGGTATGATTATTCATATTAATCTATAATATAAAAACTAAAAAAACTATATAAAACTATAACTATAGTTTTTAACTATAAAAACTAGTTTAATTTAATATTTTTATCAGTAAAATATTTAAAAAATACTTTTTTTCTTAAAAAACAATGACCAAAATCCAGTGTTTCACAATATTCTTTATTTGTGTGAGTAAAATGTTACAATTAATGTTACAATTCAAACCGATTCAGATTAAATTGTTAGCTTAATTTTTTTGAATATATATCACAATCTTCATAACTGAATACATGTTTTTGAATATATATCACAAACTTCATAACTGAATAAAATTGTTAAGGGGAATACATAAGTTGTTGTTTTTTTTTTTTTTTTTTACGTACAAACAGTTTAGAAACTAGCTTTGAAATATAGCTTGAAAAGAGAAGAGCGTTCACATCTCAGGCTTTTTCCCCAGAGCTGATCTCGGACTCGATGTTACGAAATGTGCGAGTGTCCACCAGTTTCTTCAGTCTATCAACCCATTTTTCAATCGGGTTGGCACAGATCTCCCTCTGATCTTTTGTGATGACACTGCATTTTCAAAGAGAAGATGCTTAATGATTTCACAAAGTATTTACAATAGCTATTTACATTTTAAGACATTACTAAAAAAGACTTACATGATACCATTCCTGTGACACTCATGATGTGTGGTGTGAATACTCACAACCTGCTTTACTGGGATTCTTACATTGGAAAAAGAAAAGCAGCACTTATCGGGACCTTGGCTGACTGCAGGAAGAAATAGAGATGAAAAAAAAAAACATTACATTGATATTGCATTAAAAAATATATAAATCAAGATAATCTTCATAAATATGCATAAAATTATGAACCTATTGTTCATAGTCATTTAAAAAAAGAGAAAAATACCCACATTCACTGCGAGCCAGTGAGCAGCAGGCGAAGAGCACAAGACAGGCGATGAAGATGCAGTGCGGGCTCATGTTTAAGTCTGTGGTCGGTCGATGATCAGATCTTGAGGTGCTGGTTTCTTTATCAGTGGCTGATCGTCTCGAAGATGATAATCTCACTGATGTTATCTGCTTTATATAGGGCTGAGATTGTACTTTCCACTATATACAAACCTATAAATTCTGGCCAACGAGGAACAAGTGATGTCACGTGCACGGGGGAAAACCGTGATGTGGTCTGCAGAGGTAGTGCTTCCTGTTGTACCCTTCCCCAATTCTGTTAATTAAGTCTAAAGTGCTGAGAAAGGTAACATATGAAATTAAGTCGTTTTGAG